CCCGGCCCGAGCCGTCCCTTGAGCGGGCGGTTTTCGGTGGGTGGGTGGCTGGCCTGGCTCTGGGCACGCACTTCACCCATCTGCCTGTTTCTTCCCGAGTGCCACCCTAACTGCGGCAGGGCGCGCTCCCCGCTTCCCACCCCGGGGCTGCGTGTGCCAGTGGCTGCCCCACCTCTGCTGGTGTTCCCCACAGGTGGCCGGCGGCTCTCGCCGGTGCTGCGGACAGCCTGTGCCATACAACTTGTACTTGTTCCTCTGCTGGTGTCTCCTTTCCCGTGACCTTTTAAACAAAGCGACTGGGGGGGTTTTCGCAGGCGGGCTGGCAGCAAGCGGACGAGGCTTGTTCCCCCCTCAGCGGCCACGGAGACCCACGCCGGCCCCTGGCCCTGCAGAGCGGTTGTACTGACAGTGCTTTGAGCTTTACGTGGACAAGTGAGACTTTCTGAATTCGGGAACAAAGTCTCTCCCCCTTATTTACATCTTTTCTCGTCTTCGTTTTGGGGCCACGTCTGGCTGCTGGTGCTTGGACCAGCACTCAGGGCTGTGGGGTCCTGTCTGGGGTGCCAGCAGCGGGTGGGTACACTGCTGGGCTCCGACTGGGACTGCAAACTTCTCCCTGCGCTCAATTCTGCTCAGCCCTCGAGACCCCGTTATTAATCTGTTCTTGTGTTTCTTCGTTCAGCAGTTTAGATCGTCTCGGTGTGATAAGCTGCTATAGTAGTTGAAAGTTCTTATCTGTTTCTATTGCTTTCATTATTTGTTTGTTTTCCTGGAAGAAGGAAAAGCTATTGGACTGTCTCATTTTCTCTGCGTGCTTAGTCATGGCTCCTTAAAACCACGCTGTTTTTCACAAAAGCTGAGATATTGAGAAAATTCAAATTTCCTGTGTGGTCTTGTATGGAAAAATCTCTTTAGTTTTTAGACTGTAGCACATTGAAAATATACTTTCTTGCAAAGTGTTTACCGTGTTCTACTCTGGTCTCACTCTCCCACATCCGCTCAGTTTAGAAATGGATCACAAAACATTCCTTTCCACCCCTGGCAGCCCAGAAGGTGGCAAAGGGTTTTGGTGCCCAGAGGCTGAAATGCGCGATGCAGCCTCTAGTAAGGGATCCGCAGGTCCTTTGTCTTGTTTGCCACCACAGTTCGCGTTTGTGCATCTTTGATGGCAGATCCAGGAGGGTGTCCTGCTGTCCCGAGGAGACAGTCTCGGGTGGGCAGACTCCCCAGGGTAAAGGAGGCTCCTCCAGCGTGTGTCTGCGTGTGCCACATCAGGCGCTGGGCGGGGGTGTGAGCTACCCAACAGCAAGATCTAGCTAAACTCCAGTATTTAGGATCATTTGTATCTTAGGTGAGGGAACAGAGACAGGTACATTTTGTTTATCTTTTGGGAAAGGAAGGCGGAGAAAGGCCTTCCCTGTCTCAGCTCTTCGCTGGATAATTGAGGCATCCGTACTCTAACGAGTCTGCTTTGGCAAAGGGTGGATCTTCAAGGCAGCTCCGTGAAGAGAGGCTGGCTGCAGGCAGCGAGGCAAGCACGGCTGCGTGTGGGTCATGCTAGGAGGGTGCCATTTCCATCCTACCTGACTGTTAAGCACACGGTACCCCGTGGGCATCGTCCAAATCAATAATGGATGAGGCGTAAGGTGTGGGGCGCGGTTTAAATTTGTCACAACTGGGAGGATGGTTCTGCTCGGGAGAGTGGTGCAATGGATGCCTTGGCAAGCGAACGCTGTGGGAGGAAATGCAGAGCTATTTGCAATGTAAATAGGTCTTTAATTCAGTTTCGCAGCCCCTCCCCTCATGCTGTTAAATAAGTTTGGCTTTGAAGTGAAGCCCAAAGAGTTGTTATCTGCTCAAAGGCAGAACAAACATTTTCGTGTTATCACCTTTTTGCCCTGTGCGTGGGGGACCCTGGCACGCCAGATACCAGTGCTGCCTCCCTGGGACCTCGTCACTTCACTGGGAGTCCCGGTTCGAATTTACCATGAATGAATGGTTTAAATTTCTTTGTTCTAATGCCTCGGCTAAAGACACAGAAACCCCAATATTTCCTTTCCCCGTGTCTCCCTAGTTGAGCTATCCCTTTTCTGCCTGGGGTATCTGTGCCTTCAGCAGCAGCTTGCCCTAAACTCAGGCTTAAGCCCTGGCTGAAACAGGTCACCCGAGGAAAAGCCTGCTCCTGCCATGGGGGAAGGATTTGCTATCAGCCCGTAGCCAGTGCCACTGCAGCTCCTCAGCTACCAGGGACTACTCTTGAATCGCTTTGTCTCTGCACAACAAGGAGGTTTGTTCAGTGTTTTGAAAATATCTGGCGTTGGATGTTGAATGTTTTCTTTCTCAAATGGGGCGATGGTTAAGTGGTTTCCTCTTCCCTTCGAAATGAGTAAACTTCCAAACCACTAAGCTGGTGAGTATTCACTGACTCACCAATGGGATTAACGGAGATCAAACACATTATGTCTGGTTTACTTGGACCTGGGCTTGTTGCAAGCCTGAACACAAGACTTCTGCTGGTGAGACAGCGTGAAGCTGCTGTGTGTTGCCGAAAGCCGACTGTTGGGTTGGCTGGATGAGGAGCAGAGTTAGGGAGAAGGGTTAATCCTTTGTTCCCTGCCCATATGTACCACAGAAGCGACAAAAGACCGGCCAAAGCCACCACTATGAGAGCCCCTGTTAATCTTTTCTAACAGAGGATCGGCTCTTATCAAGGACCAAACGACT